TGAGCATTTTATAGCTGACTCCAGAAGGCCACATGCTTTGTTATTTGAAAGTTGAGAGAGGGTGGTTGAGACTTCTTCTATAGAAAATTCGTCAAGAGTGCTGTTGTACCATTTGGTTAAAATATTTGTTTTAGGTTTATATTCATTTTGCTATGTTGAGTTGAATATCTGTTGGTTAATATTTTGGTAGTTTGTCTAGTTATCAAAATGTTGTTGTATGTAGAATTTAATTTCTTGTGAGTCTGTAATAATATCATTGTTAGTTTTAATATTATCAAATTTGACAGAATCTTTGTGACGATTGAGAATACTATTAATCATAGATTTAGGATTGGATAAAAGTTTATCACATCTTTTAGAAATATTGTCGTTGATTTGTTGGTGAATTTCTTTAATATTTTCCATATTGTGAGTATGATATAACGCTTTCCATTCTTCATTACTAGTGGTTAACCAATTTGCGAGAAGATTATGTGTCTGAAGCATATGTGGAATATTTAGTTGGTGAATACTGTTGAGTTTGTCAATAGTGGAGTTGTGTTGTATAGATATGGGTGATTGGTTTTTAAGTGATATTTTAACTTGTTGTATTATATTGCTAAGCCTCTTGAGATGATTGTATAATAAAAATGCTTTGGGTGAGAATATATATTGAAAATTTCGTATACTGAATTTTTTGTTAGGGATATGCTATAGGGCTGCATTAATAATACTAGTCTGTATTTTGTGCCAAGTATATTCAAGTAATTCTGATATGTCTATAGATAATGGGGTTTTGTTGGTTCTAAGTATAGGTGCAGAAACTTGAGGACATATAGTTACGTCAAAAAGATAAGCAGTTATATCAAAAGTGTCATAACTGCGTATGTCATAATAGCTGACATTTGTCACAAATGAGTTTTTGGTCATAACCCTGATAATGGACGTGATGCAGGATGAGATATACATGATTTAAGGGTGATCTATGTAATTTAGCTTTGATAAACGCAATTAAACTTTCTTGAAAAATAAATAAATTATAAAAAAAAATAATTCAAAATTATTTTTTTTCTTAAAAAAAAAAAACTCCAACAAATTGAAAGTTGTAAATAAATTGCAAATATGTCTTTAATTGATGAAGTGGATTTTAGTAATTCTATGCTATCAGAACTTTGCGCCGATGTTGCTTCACTGTCTGAATCAGAAACTAGTTATGATCGACCTCAAAAAAGAAATAGACAAGGTGGGCTCGTTTTCGATGAAGTGTGGGACTATGTTATTAGGCGTGAAAAAGTAAATCCAGGACACTATAAAGCAGAATATTACCATTGTGGAAAATTTTGGCAAAGGGGTAAACCTTGCATTTTAAGGTCCTATCTTGCACTTCATTGCAAAAAGGTTCTTGAAGATATCCGACAATATTGGCGCAATAAGCTTATAGATGTTGATAATGTCTATAAGAGAAATTCTCAATCACAATTAGTTTTACCATTACAAGTTAGTACTAATTATAATGAGATTCTTTTAAGATCTTGGGTAATGGCTAACATCTCATTTGAAGTAATTGAAAATCCTTATATTAAGGATCTTTTTAAAGGGCTTAACCTTGCATATGTGTTGCCATCTCGTACAATTCTATCTGGACGGTTACTTGACGAGGAAATTGCACGGGTACAGAATAATATTTATAATGATTTAGAGAATGCAGAACACTTAACTTTAAGTATGCATAATATTTATTAAAAAATTTTTTTTTTAAAAAAATTTTTTTTATATTTATTTATTTATTTATTTTAAATTAGCTCTCGATGAGTGGACATCAAAACGTGGAGAATCGTTATACAATTATATTGCAACAACGAGGGACCGAAAAGAAGTCTCAACCACCCTCTCTCAACTTTCAAATAACAAAGCATGTGGCCTTCTGGAGTCAGCTATAAAATGCTCA